CCAGAGAAAAGAGGAAGCGGAAAAGTTACGTCAGAAGTACGTCAGAAGTACGTCGGTACGCCAATATTTATCATCGGATTCGTCCTTCGCAAATTTCACATCAATTTATAGCGTCATTTAAGGCGTCACTTAATGGAACGGCATTTAATGCATTTAGCCGCCTATATTTTACGCGACATTTATCGGAGAGCAATAGAAAGGAGTAAAAAAAAAAAAAAAAAATATAACCGACGCGCTCCACCGTACCTCCACCTCACGTCGAGATGCAACGGAGCGCGATAAAGCAAGTCAACATTGAGAGACACCGAGCGGCACAATAATATCCCCGTCGCGAGCGAGTTCTGGTCGCTTGCATCTGGTACAAAAGAGTTATTGTCACGATCGCGCCGTATTTATTGTATCCCTTCGCGGGGGCAATATCGTCGCACGGAGAGTTTTCGGTCAGCGTCTCGCACGGGGAGGAGAGAAACGGAGGGCGAAATACCGCCGGGCCGGGCCGGACTCGTATCCGTCTGCGAAACCTCGCCCTATCCAATGCCGTATATATCCGAGGGAAGGCATTGTCACGGTACTCGGAGCATTTTTCATGTTCGCTTTTCTGAGGAATAACGCCCGGAGACCGCGACCGCGGTGCCAGCGCCGCGATGTGCATGTCCCGTGGAAAATGGGGGTAGTGGAGGGAGGGGGAGGGAGGGGGGGCGCATTGAACACGAGGGAGGAAAAAGGTGACCATATAACGCCTCGGTGCCACGATAGAAATATCTCAGTGGGAACTATTACGTGGTATATACAGATCGACAGAACTGACTGAGCCAAACGGTATGACGAACAAAGACGACGTGAACGCGAGTGGAAATAAATAACAAGTTGTAATAAAGGAAATTTTGCCTCGACAGAACATTGCCTTCTGAGATTAATTTGCACGTTAATTTGCAGAAAGATCCGCTGGTTTTTTTTTTTTTTTTATGTATTTTTTTCGTACAAAATATGTGAAAATATGTGATTTTGTAAAAGCAACCGGAAGGAGCATTTTAAAAGGGACATACGTCAAATGTGACACGCGTTATTTTTATGTGTGAATAATAAAGGGTAATATTTTAAGCAAGTAATGTATATTTCGTTTTTTTTCCCTTCCGTCAAATCCTCACGTTTCCATCCATAATACATTCCGCAACTTTTTTTTCTCCCCTCCTCTCTCTAAAATTCGAATTATAGAGTTGTATTTCGAAAGCAAAAAGATATGAATGAGAATATAAATGGAGATGTAAATCGAGCAGCGCGCGTTACAAGTTCTTCCATTCTACATCGAAAGTTCATACTTCTTCTATATCGAAAGTTCACAGAGACTTTTCGTTCATGCATTTATAAACGGCTTTCGACCCCTCAATATATTCTTCAATGCTCATACTGCATGCATGAGTCACTTGTACATGCAGATAGGCAAAAATTCAAAATAACAAATATGGTGTTGTAAGAAATACAATATTGTGCCTACTAAAAAAAATTTTTACAAGACGATCATTTTTTTTTTTTAAATAACGCGCTACTTTTTCGTATTGTTTTCCGAAATGTTTAACGCTCACGCGTTAGTTTCATCTCGCTGAAAAATTATGAAAAAAATTGCTATTATCGAATCGAGGCGCAGTTTTTCGAACGGACGAGTCGAGGTATGATGAATAAATGTTTCCTTAATGGAAAATTAACGTTCTCTAAGACTCTTCGAGGCATCCTCACTGATGAAGCGGAAATCGGCGTTAAATAGGTGGCCTCGTAATTAATGGCTTTATTATCGAATCAACGAACTCGGCCAGTGAAAAATGGACAGCGGGAAAGTGGAGCAGCTCTCGCCGGTGAATTCCAAATCCATTACTATCAGCTCTGGGAATACTTTTACGGTAACCAACCTGATTTTATCCTTGCTTCTCGAAAGGTGTTTCGAATCAAATGAATCATCACCCGTTCTAATTTTAATTCACTTTCGGTAACTAATAAAATATCAGCTTAATAACGAATGATGTAAATTCTTATCGAATTTATATAACTTCGATATTAAATCAGCCATTGTACACGTCTTTTATAAAAATTAAAAAATACAATTTTTATTTTTGTATCTGTATGTACATTATGAAAAAAAAAAATATATATATATATATTTCGCATAAAATAATAATTCTCTTCTATTGCGCGAAATAAGAATTTCAGTATTTAGCGTATTACAATGAAAGCTATACAATCATGTAAAATGAAAATTGCTGTTATATTTAACGTTAAATAGAATCATATATTTATTCAGTACGTGAATCGAGTTACGGTGTGTAATTATGAAATTTCATTAACGTGTACTGCATTTATTTTTCTAGCTGCAATACCATCTATACTTCATTTTATTCGAGATAATGTGCGCCGAGCTTCAAATAATTAAAATAATTATCATACAGTTACAATTTTATTCTGACTTGTTTTAATTATAAAATGCGGCTCTTTACACAATGCCGATCTTGCGACCAAAGCAATACTCGATTGCAATACACATTATATAACGCGTGGCGCATAATTATAACGTAATAAAGTCAACATATTCGGACGTATTCGGGATAAACAGCGCGTCACGAGTCACGTAATGAGTGGCTGCATTTGGAAATCATTAATATCAATGAGAGGGTATCTCTCATTATCCCTCCGTCCGCCAAACGCAAAAACCCCGAACAATTTAATCATTTCCGCCGAGGGACACCCAGTATGTACTCCGCTTGACTAACGAGCGTCCATCAGACGACTCTTTCGTCTTCATTTGAAGTGGACGTGCACACGGGACCGAACTTCCGGATTTACTTCTTCGCATCCTTTTCCCCGAGATCATACCCGAACACACGATAATATACGCGATATCGAATGTTGCCGTGTTAAATCTTAATTTATTGAAAATTGGTAAGCCACGGAAAATGAAGTAAAAATATTTACTGTTAATTAATAAAAAAAGCGTCTGTAGTTAACATTTAATGTAATAGGTTCGTGCAACGTTTCGCACATGCCATTGCGAAAGTCAGAGCATACTTTGTGGTGCAATAAATTGCGTAATGATTAATTTTGTAAATAATTAAATATATAAAGCGTTCTTTGAATAAAATTCGTCATATTTTTTAAAATATAAAGTTTCAAATTGTGCGTTCTAAATTGTTTCAAATTCTTTCCACGAGATTCTGATTTTGTCGCACGCTTGCGTGTCCTAAAAGCCTGTTAGAGTTATACTTCGCGAATCACGTCGTAATTTTGTGGACTGAAAGACTAAGTAGATTACCCTGTGTTTGTCGACGTGCACCGGTCTCAAGTGACGATCGAAAAGCAACTTGTCCGGCTCGATGTTGATGGGACTCTGCCGTCTTCCTTTGGTGCAGAGCGACCACTGCGGATTTATCAGGCCCCAAAAGGAAGGTCCTGCAAAAGATATTGTACGTTAATAAGACAAAAGAAGATTACATAGACAACGAAAAAAAAAGATTGTTGCAAACTTATACTGATAATTAATTTGCGAAAAAAACTTTGGAGAGTCTAATCGAAAGACGAAAGAATCTTACTAGGAGGCCACAATAATAAAATAATTCCAACTAATACAACACAAACTTTTTAAGAAAAAAAATATATATATATATAAATACGTCGAGAAACGCGGACATGCGTTATTTTATCCCGAAATTTTGTATCGTATCTCCGGGAAGTCGTCCGGGAAGTACGAGAGAAACTCGGTCACGCGAAACTCCCAAGGGAGATTCTTATTTTCTCTGTTTGAGTATGAATCGTCGTGTCACGTGTCAACCGCTCAGAAATCTGAAATTTTTATAATTTCAACTTTTCCGGCTGGTCGCGCCGACCGGAATCGCGTCCTCCGTTTCTTTGTCCGGCCCGCGTCAAGTTTCGCTCGGCAAAAGGGATTTTGAACTCGTTTCGCCAGCTTCGTACGCCAGGGACCGACGCAACCCTCACCCCCCCCCCCCTCCTCCGATACTTTCGTCTTAGGGACCAACCGACGTTCGCGTTTTCCGGCACTCTCCTCTGAGAAATTTAACTTTCTTCACGTCGCCCGTGAGAATCGATACCCCGAGAAAGCCCGACTTAACGAATCCTCTGTCGCGAATCTAAACTCGTGAGACAGCATGAAATGCATCGTATATTTCTATTTTGGTTAATATTCAAAATCTACGAAAATAAAATCGATAATACATTAGGGTGAAGAGTAATAATACATAAGCGATATGCGCGACTGATGCACAAAGATTGGCGTGCTTCGATTTTTATTTCGATTCAGTTATCGTATATCTGTCTGTATATACCCTTGAATTCAGCGATTCTATTTATCATTCTATTCTTTATAATCAGTTACGTTCTTAATCTACTCCTGCATTTTTTTAAAGGAGATAATAAACAGACTTTTTTAAAATATTTTTGCGAAATTTCTTTAAGCGAAATTTATCTCCTACTTCGCTTTTTTACTTATTCACTTTTTTATGAAACAAGTTGACAATTTTCTTACAATTACTTATTCATTCTAATTGCAAAAAAGGATTAAAGGATATATATCATTTGTAAACAGAATATTTTCTTTAAAAAGATAAATTTTTAATACACTTAATTAACTCCTATTAAATCATTCATTAAAAAATACATTATGTAATTAATTCTTTTTATTGAATTGCAGGTAATCAAAATAATTATGGCATTGAGGTAAATGTATAATATTAGATATTTTTCACATATTAATACCATTTTTAATCTTCTAGCAAATATAGTAACTAAACATATAAATTATTTTAAAAAATTTATTAAATAAATTATAAAAAAAAAATCTGTTTCATTCACCAATAGAAAATAAATAAACAATGTAATATTGTAATCATATAATACTTTTATCAATAATATAATATCGTAATTACTAAATTTTATCACATAACATCACGATTGTCCTGATTATACCGACTATTGTACAAAAAATATGTAGATTATAAGTAAGACAAAATTATGCAAATAAAGAAAAATATTTTAAACAATTGCATATATGCGTTCAGTGAAACAAATGTGTGAATGTGAATGTGTTCCAAGTTTATAATAACGCACAGGATCCACGAAAGGGTATAAGGGATGACATATAATGACATCCCAGCACGCGAGCATAATCAAAACTTATGGCCCTGAAATGTGCGTTCAATAGCGAACAACCCTCTGAACGGGTTTCACGCACGCACGCTCGCTCGTCATGCAACGACACAACGGCATTTTATATAATAGTACAGATGCAATTAATCCACACTGTAATTAGCATTTTCGCACCAGAACGTGCATTGAATTTTTTTTTTCATCTTTAGCCGTCACGTGAGTTCCTGATGTACGTGACGTGCGTGTACTATTCATTTCATCGAACGGAACTCATTAATTAAAGGGTTATAAAGCGGTATTAATCAGATTTTTTATCTTGTGATACAAAACCTATAATTATAATAATACGTAAGAAGAAATATATATATATATATTAAATAATTATATAATAATAAAAAATAATTATATATATATATATATATATATGTGTGTGTAATTATATATATATATATATAT